TTTCGGTCTTCCAGAAATACGGGGTTAAGGTCATTCGATCTTCCAAACACACACGGGGTTCAGTTCACACAGTCTTCCAAACATTCTAATTCCCCTATAAACAGATTCCTATAGGGCATGGTTCCACAGACACCGACTAACACACGCGCACACACACGGTACCCCTATTCACTCAGTCACCACTCACCAAACACACGCGGTTTTCCAATAACACACATACCCCTGCACAGCCCGTCGTCCAAAGCCCATTACTCCCCACCCTGCACACCCCCTCTCACACACACAACATATTCCCAGCCTAGTCTCAATTTCTCAAGGGCTCGAGGGTTCAATTTTCTCCTTCCTAAACCGAAACGTGAGAGCGTATGTTTCTAATTAGCTCACCGAGGCTACCATTTTTTTTCTCTCGACTTTTGTTCTTTCTCATATAATCTTAAGTTTATATTGTTCTTTCACTTATAAAATTTCGTATATATGATGCTAAAAACTTTAAAATCTCCTCCTCAGAGTAGCAATAGGTTGGATTCTCTAGTAGGGAAGTGGCTCTTCTTCTTCCCCCCCCCACTCTGTCCCCCACCACCCATCGATCTCTCTCGTAGGCAAGTTTGTTCTCTCCCCCCAGCTATCGAAGTTAACTCTCTAATTGATGTTATAAGAACGCACTTAATAAACTTCGCTTAAGTAATGGTGGGTAATCGACCACCTGAGGATCTATCTTCTCCTCACCAACACCAGCGTTTGCTGATTTCCCGTGGAGATTAAACAACCAAAACTTTAACTTTAACTTACTCTAATTCCTAACCTTCTCCCCCCAAAATAGTGATAGGTGGTAAATCTTAGGTGGGAGGTGGGGTAGGAGAATCATCAGCTGATCCAAATATTAAGTTGGGAGGTCTGGTGTGTAAAGAGAGAGAGAGAAAGAGAGATTTTAAATTTAAAGTGGGTAAAAAGAGGAATGGTACCTCCCTCCTCTCCTCCTCCTCCTCCTCCTCCTCCTCCCTCCTCCTCCTCCTCCTCCTCCTCCTCCTCCCTCCTCCTCCTCCTCCTCCTCCTCCTCCTCCCTCCTCCTCCTCCTCCTCCCTCCTCCTCCTCCTCCTCCTCCTCCTCCTCCTCCTCCTCTCCTCTCCTCCTCCTCCTCCTCCTCCTCCTCCTCCTCCTCCTCCTCCTCCTCCTCCTCCTCCTCCTCCTCCTCCTCCTCCTCCTCCTCCTCCTCCCTCTCCTCCTCTCCTTCCCAGACTCCAGAACTTCTTCTTCCTCCTCCTCCTCTTTCTCTTCTCTCATCCTCCTCCTCATCTTCACACACACACACACTAACAGCAGCTAGCGACGAGTAATATATACAGCAGACTCAGGTGACAAAATAGCCAGCCAGCACCAACAGCAGGCAGTCACAACACACGCTTGCCTCCCACCATAAATTGCCTGCATACAACGTCAAATGAACCAGAAAATTCGAGCAATTCCCCACAGTGCAGAAGAATAACCGTATCTGACACCTGCCCACCTTAATTTATTTTGGATGAGGACAACAGGATGATCATGATGAATTAAACTAAACATTGCAGGAATCAGTGACCTATATAGTTTATCCGATATAGATTTGTAAAACTAATTAAATGTTGATAAGACCGATGCTGGTTATATAAATACAAATAGTAGTGGTAGTAGTAGTAATAATAATAAAAAGTAATAATAATAATAATAATAATAATAATAATAATAATAATAATAATAATAATAATAATAATACCTAAAAAACCAATAACAAATACATAAAAAATAGCAAAGAAAAAGAAAAAACCACAGATACCAGCACCTAAATATTAATACCCTCAGCTTTGTCTGTCTCTGTGTATAAATGTGTGTATGAGTGTCAGTCCTGCCTATATGTACGTCTAGTTGGGGTAGACAATGGTTCTACGTAACTCTTCCCTTAAAAGAGATCAATGAGTAAGGGGCACACATAAGACACATTGAGGGGGAAGAGGGAGATGAGGGGGAAGAGGGAGATGAGGGGGAAGAGGGAGATGAGGGGGAAGAGGGATGAGGGGAGAATGAGGGGAAGTTATGAGTGCCACAAAAGGGTCATCCTAATAGCCAGCGTAAGACAATGCTGTATTGGGAATAGTGTCACCAATGAGTTGCGACACTGGGATTAAAAACTAAATAAATTAACAAGACCAGAAGAAGAAAATACTCAATATACACTACATACACACAGCCTGACCCTGAGAAATCATACAAAACATGTCAAGGATCAAGTCACTATAATGCAACTGCTTACGTCGGTAGGTTTAATCCCTGGTGGTGCCGGTAAGACCCAACCCTGTACACAGAGAGAGAGAGAGAGAGAGAGAGAGAGAGAAAACCGTCATGGCAGAGAGACATGGACAGCACAGAGGGTGAAAGGGAATTGTTTATGAAAGTTTGGCGATTCAGAATAGACGAGTACCTTCCTGGTAATGGGTTTGTGTGTGTGTGTGTGTGTGTGTGTGTGTGTGTGTGTGTGTGTGTGTGTACAATCTCGGATATAAACACGACCCGGGAAGGGAAACAAGGGTAATAAAAACAACAATGACAACACGAAAATAGAAAAACAAGAATTAGATTGAGAAGGAACAATAAAAACAAGAAAAATAACAACAACAACAACAGAAGTAGTCACAAGGAAAACAAGAAAGAAAACAAGAACAACACAAAAAGAACAAGAAGAAAAATAACTCCAAGCTCTCATATATGACTCTCTCTCTCTCTCTCTCTCTCTCTCTCTCTCTCTCCCCGGGCAAGAGTACATTAATACACTAAACAGAGTCCTCTTATCATCACACTGTCCTTCTCACAATAATAACTTATGAAAATACTTAACAAATATGGCTCACGTGTCTTATTTTTCAGTTGCTAGTCATATAATTATTACACCAATGCATTGTATCTTCCTCCAGCACAAGAGTTTGCTAGAGGAACCTGAAGAAAAAAATAACGAGCCAAAATTTACACGATAAAGAATCTCTTTGTGTGCTCGGGAAGTTGGTTGAGGTCTCCGCTTTGTTCAGGCGAATTGAATGCACACCGCTACTGAACTGTGTATGTCTGACTGTAACAAGAAGAGACAAAGTTTGGTACGCTCTGCGAACCGTTCCTGCTGAAACGAGATATAATTTATGTTATAATTTGCGTTAATTTACCAAAGTGGATTATTTAAACTGGATTTTCTTCACAATTAAAATCTCCAAATAAAAAAATTTTTGAGTCTTAAAGAAAAGATTTTAGCAGAGGTGGACCATTTAATCAATATTCTCTCTATAAGGTACAGTATGGCCGGATGTTATTAAATGTAATGTTTATCGGCGAGGATTAATGTAATTATAAACACCAAAAATATGACCCTTCATCTTGCGCGCGCGCGCGCGCACACACACACACACACACACACACACACACACACACTCCAAATCTACGGAGTTCACCCACCACGTTTCATTAACTCCCGTCACCGTCGACAACAAACACACTCAAACTCTGAACATTTATTAACCTAAAAATTCATAAAACAAAATAGTATAATATAGTACAATAGAGTATAATAGAGCTCTCCTATGTATAGCGCTTGACACTAATGATGGATTTATATTTTTCCCAATAGTTCCCCTAAAATGTTGATTATAATTTATCCTATGTGACTATAATTAACGATTCCTTAATATCTATTGTCAGGTGGTATTAATCACAGGTGAAAATAGTCACTTTTGTACCTGTAGTATCGACTGTAGATAGCGAAGTAAATAATGGTGTAGTGAGATTTAAAGGCCAGATTTCAAAAGCAGTAGGGTAAGGATGCTCTCCACAAACACACATTACACCATCAACCACATCAACTTTACCACTTGAAACTTCTGCTTCTGGCTGAGACAGGTATCAACATCCTCCCACTCCCGTCCCTCCTTCCTCGTCCCTCCAACCCTTCCCATCCATCCATCCCTGCTGCCCTCCCATCCCTCCCTCTCCTCACCCCTGCCTTTACTACCCCCTCCCCTTCCCTCTCTCATGTGTTCAGGATATAAACAAACTCGTATAAAAAGAAAACGGCCAAAGCAAAGTTACTCATCTCCGCTGACCGAGAGTCGATACATATTTACTAATCTCCAACAAATTACATCTTCGAGTCGTCACCAAACAAGAGCTTTAATTGAGGGAGATGGGAGGGGAGGGGAGAGAAGAGAGGGAGGGAGGGAGAAAATGTTAGAAGAGAATGATGGAGGGAGAATGCATGAGGTGAGAGAGAGAGGGAAGAGGGAAAAAGATGCAGTTAAAATAGAAGAGAAAGGAGAAGAGAGGGAAGAAGAGAAAATAGAGAGAATTCACGAGGAGAGGGAGGAGAAGGAAGAAGAAATGGTTTAAATATAAAACAAAGAATAAGATTCAATACTTGAGGAGAGGAGTTCGAGAAGAAAGAGGAGAGAAAGATGAGAGAATACGTGAGGAGGGGAGAGAGAATGTGTGGGAGAGAGAAGGCAGTGTTGGAGACCGTCTGCTACTGGATAGTCTTTATCTCTCTGACCTACCTGGATAGAATAGCAAGGAGGACACTATGTATGACAGACTGTGATGATGAGAGACACTGTGCACGCGAGGTACTGTGGATGAGACACGATGTATGAGAGACACATTCTATGAGACATCATGTAAAAAGAGACACACGTATGATAGATATTATGTTTAAGAGACTCTGCTGTGCATGAGAGACTGTAAATGAAACACTATGTATGAGTGCTGATGGGAGACATTTAATTGGTTTACTGATTTCCCCAGATACTGACCGAGACAGACCGACCACTAATGAGTGTTTTTGTTGTGTGTGTTACAGGATGCTGTGGTCCAGCCTCTCCAGAGCCCCATAGGACGTGCGTCACACCGGGCGTCCCTCCAGAAATCCATGATGGAAAACCTGGACATATTTGACCCCCTGGAGGAGGTGGTGGAAGAAGAGGAGGAGGAGGTGGAGGTGGTGTTGGGTGGAAGCATGAAGGTTCGGCGGACATCCACGGAGATGAAAATCGGTGGAGGAGTGAGCAACTGGCTGGAACGCGCCTTCAATGACAGCGAGTGTGTCATAGTTCCCGGTAATTCCGACTGCCAGATCAACGCCACCTTAACCCTCGGCAACTTTACCACCCCCATCATCAACTCCACTTCCACCGTCCTGCCACCGAGTCTGGGTTTCGACGACAACGCCATGACCGACATCATCATCTACTCGGTGATGTTCGTGGTGGCCGCCGTCGGAAACCTCACCGTCTTCATCACCCTCTTTCGTAACCGTCACCGGAAGTCTCGCGTCAACCTCATGATCATGCACTTGGCGGCCGCTGATCTCATGGTCACCCTCATCAACTTCCCACTCGAGGTCGGCTGGAGGATCACGACACAGTGGGTGGCTGGAAACCTGGCGTGTAAGCTCTTCCAGTTCCTGAGGGCCTTCGGCCTCTACCTCTCGTCCCTGGTGCTGGTCTGCATCAGCCTCGACAGATACTTCGCCATCGTCCACCCGCTCAAGGTGAGTGACTGTCTTCAGCTGCATGGTGGGAGACAGACTGGTGTTTATCTCGGTGTCTGTCTGTCTGTCTTTCTCTGTGTCACTTTGTTTCTCTCTCTAATCCAGTAATCTCTGATCCACTTAGATGAGGCAGATCGGACCACCTGCCTCTTGTTAAACATTCTAACATTATTCTCTCAAGTTCGCAAGTATTTATTTATATTTCGTACACCGAGTTAACATTCTTTGCATTAACACGAACATGTCAGTAACGTAACCGACCGAGAACTTACGGCTCATTATATGACCGTCTTTTCTCTTACCTTCATCGAAAAAGGAAAAAGCACTTGAAAAATAACATGACAGTTTTTAAGCAGCAATTTCCATAAATGTTAATGAAATTTATTTGTAATATTTTGCCAATATTTACATTATCAGACCCCAATTACAGTGCTAATATTTTTGAATAGAAGTAAAGTAGAATTTTATACTTTTATTTAGAAGTAATAATCATATATTGTCATAAAAGTTAATGGTCAAAGTTTAGGTTAACTTAGGCAGAGAGGAAACCATTATGGGAAGTAATTTTCAACAAACTGAAGGCAAAATTAGGCAGGACCATAAGGTATATATTTTCTGCTCCTCTGACAGGTTAATGATGCTCAACGACGTGGCAAGATAATGCTAACCTTCGCCTGGTCCATAGCGGCTGTGTGTTCCCTCCCCCAGGTAAGTCTTACACACACACACACACACACACACACACACACACACTAACAACCACCCGTTTCTCTGTCACCCAACACTGTCTTGCAAGAGTAGTGACGTCATAATCCCTCCTCCTATCATGACCTCAGCTCCAGTGAGGTACTTAGCCACTCTTCCAACACCATCAACCTGGTTACTCACTACACTACACAAGGTGAAACTGACCATAACAATTAATGCTTATGGAAGGAAATAATATGACACTAGATTTACATATTTCTTCCTCTGATGTAACTGTTACCTACCCTTCCCCTTCCCCCTCCCCCATTCCTCTTGAAGAATTTGTCATGCCTAGTTGATGTCAAGGGTAGGAAAATATTTATGGAACCAAACAATCTTACCTAACCTAACCTAACCAATTTTACATAACCTCGCTTAACCTAACCTAACCTAATCAAAGCAAACCAACTTAGCACAACCTCACCTAACATAAACCCAACCAAACCAAACCAAAAAATGACCTTCGTATATATATAAAAAACCTAATTCACGTATAATACAGTATTAAAACCATCCTACTTGTATAGCTTATATACAAAAGGTAATACTGTCAAGACCCGTGACCCGAGACCGTCATATACGTGGTCTGTTACTGTCTCCTGTCACGCTCTTAATTACATAGATACAGGTATAAGAACAGCACCATCCCATCTACTGTTAAAATAATAAACAGAGTTGCAGCCGGTGGCTGAAAATATACAAACTTACATGTCATTTAGACATAATAATATACATTGATACATTTACAGGGCTGTCAGTACAAATCAGAATGTTTATTATTTTAACAATAGATGGGATGGTGCTATTCTTATATCTATCAGTGTGGGCTCTTATGGGCGAATTTTGTTATAGTGGCGGACTGCGCGAGGTGGGCGGGGACTGCTGGTGGCAGTAGGTGGCGATGACGAGGATGGTGCAGTAGTCCACTGCCAAACCCAGTTAGTGCTTGGTGGTGGAGGTCACTGAGGGATAGCATTTCCAAGGTGGAGAGAGCGTTGTTGCAGCCGGAGTAGTCTGCTCCGAGCATGATTCTGCAGGCCCTCTTCTGTACGTTCTCTAGCCGACGTTGTTGGGTAGAGTTGAGAGAAGACGACCAGGCTGGTGACGCATACGTTAATTTGGGGAGAATAAATGCGCTGTAGATAGTCCTCAGCTCTGGCGTGGGTGGCCCAAGTATCTGAGTCGTCGTAGCATGTAGAATCGGTACGAGGCTGCCTTGATTGTGCTGTTTACATGGGCCTTCCAGTCCAGTCCAGTGTGTGTGTGTGTGTCAAGGAAACACTGCTATTTCCTGACGATTAATTACAACACCTGAAGGCGAGGCTGAGAAAAACGATTGTGATAAAAGGTTAACTATTTTGGGTGAGAAGAGGTTAAGTAATTTCCTGTTGTGTGTTAAGAGACAGACGTTCATACTATATTCTTCTCATTTATCGCCTCTTGAGACATATAAAACTATTTTCCTCTGACACACACACACAACCATTTTCAGCGAGAATATATGCTTCTCTTCAACACAATTTTCCTCTGACACACAACAAAATTGGTCTATTGTCCTCCTCTTCGTCACAACTATAAGTTACACCAAGACGATCCTATATAACTCCTAATATTTCTTCCTTTAATAATTTCCGTGTATATCAAGAAATTTAATGTGAATGTTAAGGAGGAAAACATAAAGAAAAATATAACGAATATGAACGATCATGACCAAACACACAACAAACACAATCACTAACTCGTCTCAAGAGCATATAATACCCCCAAACACAATACCCATTCACTGACCCACGTCCAGCCATGTACGGTAGATAGTTAGGCTGTAACCACACCGCCCACTCATTATGTAATACTACCATAATAAAGTTGTAATGGTAGCTGTAATTAAGTTGTAATGGTAGCGTGGTAAGTCTCCGATATACAGGTAATAACACTGTAATCCCTCCTCTGTAATATTACATCTAGGTTTAATCTGTGTCGTTTAGTTGGGATAACATAACGTAAGATAACTTGGAATATATTATCTTAAAATTAAATTAACTTAAACTGACATTATTTAACTGAAACTAACCTGACTTACTCTAATCTAGCCTAACCTAACCTAACCTAACTTAGCCTGACCTGACCTTATTTAACTGAAACTAACCTAACGAACGAGAGAGAGAGAGAGAGAGAAGACGATAGATATAAATAAAATGAACCAGACAGACAGACAGACAGACAGACAGACAGACAGACAGAAAATTATTTCCACAGTAAAAAAGTTCAACGTTATTTTCTACACTTTTTCTGGCTATTTTTTTTTTATCTAAAAAGTCAACGAGAGGCAAATGACTGTCGTGAACCAACCACATGTGACGCCATGTGTGTGTCACGGATTTTTATATTCCATATCTATCTTTCTATCTGTGTATCTATCTAGTGACTCACCGTTGATTGATAATTAATGTACAGTACTTGTTAGGTCAGTCTTAATATTTATTTTGAAAAGCCAGTTAGTCATAGATGAGAGAAAATATAGCGGTCATTCCTACGTCACCATTGTGTACAGCTGTTAGTCATATCAGGGTAAAGAAAAATATAGACTCAGGTAATGGAAGGAGCTGTCGAGTACACACTCAAAAAAAAAGGACTTGGGAAAACCTCGCACTCAGCCTTTGTTAAATTTTCCTTTTGTAAAGAGCAGTGGGATGAAATAGCTAGTGGTTCTGGGTGAACTGGTGTGAAGTGTAACTGGGTGTACTGGTGAAGTGTAACTGGGATAACATAACGTAAGATAACTTGGAATATATTATCTTAAAATTAAATTAACTTAAACTGACATTATTTAACTGAAACTAACCTGAAGTGTAAGTGAAGTGTAACTTTGGTGTACTGGTGAAGTGCAACACGGTGTACTGGTGAAGTGTAACTGGGTGTACTGGTGAAGTGTAACTGGGTGTACTGGTGAAGTGCACGGTGTACTGGTGAAGTGTAACTGGGTGTACTGGTGAAGTGTAACTAGGTGTACTGGTGAGTGTAACTGGGTGTACTGGTAGTGTAACTGGGTGTACTGGTGAGTGCAACTGGGTGTACTGGTGAAGTGTAACTGCTGTGTAAATGTGGTGAAGTGTAATGTGGTGAAGTGTAACATGGTGTACTGGTGAAGTGTAACTGGGTGTACTGGTGAAGTGTAACTGGGTGTACTGGTGAAGTGTAACTGGGTGTACTGGTGAAGTGTAACTGGGTGTACTGGTGAAGTGTAACTGGGTGTACTGGTGAAGTGTAACTGGGTGTACTGGTGAAGTGTAACTGGGTGTACTGGTGAAATGTAACTGGTGTACTGCTGAAGTGTAATGTGGTGGTTAATGTGGTGAGTTTACTGGTGTTAAGTGTAACATGGTGTACTGGTGTTAAGTGTAACTGGGTGTACTGGTGAAGTGTAACTGGGTGTACTGGTAGTAGTAACTGGTGTACTGGTGAAGTGTAACTGGGTGTACTGGTGAAGTGTAACTGGGTGTACTGGTGAAGTGTAACTGGGTGTACTGGTGTATCTAACTGGGTGTACTGGTGAAGTGTAACTGGGTGTACTGGTGAAGTGTAACTGGGTGTACTGGTGAAGTGCAACACGGTGTACTGGTGAAGTGTAACATGGTGTTAAGTGTAACTGGGTGCACTGGTGAAGTGTAACTGGGTGTACTGGTGAAGTGTAACATGGTGTACTGGTGTTAAGTGTAACTGGGTGTACTGGTGAAGTGTAACTGGGTGTACTGGTGAAGTGTAACTGGGTGTACTGGTGAAGTGTAACATGGTGTGTACTGGTGAAGTGTAACTGGGTGTACTGGTGAAGTGTAACTGGGTGTACTGGTGAAGTGTAACATGGCGTACTGGTGAAGTGTAACTGGGTGTACTGGTGAAGTGTAACTGGGTGTGAAGTGTAACTGGTGTACTGGTGTAAGTGTAACTGGGTGTACTGGTGTAAGTGTAACTGGGTGTACTGGTGAAGTGTAACTGGGTGTACTGGTGAAGTGTAACATGGTGTACTGGTGAAGTGTAACTGGTGTACTGGTAATGTAACATGGGTACTGGTGAAGTGTAACTGGGTGTACTGGTGAAGTGTAACTGGGTGTACTGGTGAAGTGTAACTAGTTGTGGTGAAGTGTAACTAGGTGTACTGGTGAAGTGTAACATGGTGTACTGGTGTTAAGTGTAACTGGGTGTACTGGTGAAGTGTAACATGGTGTACTGGTGTTGTAACTGGTGTCTGGTGAAGTGTAACTGGTGTACTGGTGTTAAGTGTAAGTGGTGTACTGGTGAAGTGTAACTGGGTGTACTGGTGAAGTGTAACTGGGTGTACTGGTGATGTAACTGGGTGTACTGGTGTTAAGTGTAACTGGGTGTACTGGTGTTAAGTGTAACTGGGTGTACTGGTGAAGTGTAAGTGGGTGTACTGGTGAAGTGGCTGCTCTGTCTGTAAATGAATTGTCCTAAATATTTTGCCATTTATTTACACAATATAAAAATAAAATAAAATATAGGTAAGTTGAGGAAGTATCTGGGTTCAATAAAGTATAAGTAAACATCTGGGGTTCAATAAAGTATAAGTAAACATCTGGGGTTCAATAAAGTATAAGTAAACATCTGGGGTTCAATAAAGTATAAGTAAGTATCTGGGGTTCAATAAAGTATAAGTAAACATCTGGGGTTCAATAAAGTATAATAAAGTATAAGTAAAGATGAGGAAAGTATCAGGGTTCACTACCAATCAGTGTGTCTCTTATGAGAGCTATCAGACCATATTACCTGACTGATGACTACTGGTATATTATTATTATCATTCATGTTATTTCTCTCTCTCTCTCTCCTGTCCCCTGTTTATTTCTCCTTTTCCGTCTCCTTTCTTTCCATTTTCACCTTCCTTCTTAACCTCCCTATCTTCCACCTCTCCCATTCATTTTTTTCTCTACCATCCCTCTTTATCTCCTCTTTCGTCTCCCCATCTCTTCCTCCTTCTTAACCTCTATCTTTCTTTCTCTCCCGCCTTCGTTCTCTTGCCTCTATCTGTCTTTATCTTCTTTCTCCTTATTTCTCACCTCTTCTTTCTTTTTTCCTTCCTTCCTTCCTTCTCTCCCTATTTTCCTCTCTCCTCTGTCCCATCCACCTTCTCTTCCCCCATCTTAAATTCTCCCTATCGTCCTTCCCAATTCCCTCCCCATCTTAATATCTCCCTATCTTCCTTCCTACCCTTCCCCTCCTCCGTCCCACCAGGCCTAAGGTAAACACTCTGGGGCAGAAGGTAAGCTATCGGAGTAATCAACCCGCACCACTGCTCACACCACTGACAGCTTCCAATACAGACATATAGCGGTGCTTCCCTTCCTGTTCTGCGCCTAAATATATTCTGATGAGTCACCTGAAGATTAGACACCCTAGTTTATTTCATCTTATAATTATCCATGCTAGGATAACCTAACCTAACCGAAACTAACCCAATCAAAACTAAACTAACCTAAAGTAATCTAACGTAACGTAACCTTACTCCCCTCCAGCATTAGAGTGGATAATTTTTTCATCACGTGAAATAAGCTCGGGACTAATCCTCAGATAATCCATTGTTAAATATTCTAGTTAATCAGTATATATTTGCGGGTTTTTCATAATATTTTAGTCCATGACGGAAATAATCAAGTGGTTTCGCGTTTGAAGGTCAGTCCATGAATTTTTATTACTGTACAACTGCGGACAGAATTCCCTAAACTTTTGGCAATATCTGGCATGTATTTCAGGGTTACATACATGATTGGCTTCATCGCATATTAAGGTCGGAAACACCTACTGGAACTAAAACACTCCTTAATGCAAAGAAAAATCTGAAACTACCCAACCCAACCCAACCCAACCCAACCCAACCCAACCCAACCCAACCTAACCTAACCTTACTTACCTTACCTTACCTAACCTAACCTAACCTTACCTTACCTTACCTAACCTAACCTATCTTCCTTCTGTCCTTTCTAATGTCTTCCCTCTTCCATCTCTCCATACCTTCCTTCTTCTCTCCTCGCTACTGATGATGCAGAACCTCAGGATAATGGAATATGTCCTGTACAGAATCTCTAAAGTGTCAGTCTTCTTTTCGTCATATGAGGAATACAATTACCATAGCTTCCGGAACAATACCCATAAGATAATGACGTAGAATTAACAATAACTCACGCTATATCGGAGACCCTATTTGAGACGTTCGCTAATATGGTTTACTTTTGTGAAGAAATACTTAAAAACAATTAATAAATTGCCTTGATACTAAAACAAAAAATTATCTAACACTTCTATGCCGTAATTTGCTGAAATCTATATGAAATGATGATTCAAAATATATACGAGACAGTTTTCGAAGCATCATTAATAAGACCTACTTTCTTTCACCCCACAGAGCGTCATCTTCCACGTCGACACTCACCCGGTGTTCCAGAACTTCAAGCAGTGCGTCACCTTCGGGTTCTTCAGACGCAGGTGGAGGAGATGACCTATAACCTCTTCTGCCTCGCCGCCATGTACTTCATGCCCCTCCTCGTCATTATCGTCGTCTACTAGAATCCTGTGGAGATTCTCAGAAGTCGAAGGATTCTAAAGGTGAGGATGATAATGTTCTAAACCTTCCTTCGGGGAGTCTTGAACCTTCCTTCCTTCCTTCCTTGGGAGATAGCTCGAGTTCTTTTCTTTTTAAGACGATGGATTAACCTCTTTAAGATGATGGATTAACCTCTTAAGACAATGGATTAATCTATCTTAATATAATGGATTAACCTCTTAAAGCGATGGATTAACCTCTTTACGACGATGGATTAACCACTTTACGATGATAGGTTAACCTCAAATGATGGATTAGCCTCAAGACGATGGATTAACCCTTTTAAGATGATGGATTAACTCTCTTAAAGCGCTGGATTAACCTTTAAGACGATGGATTCACTTCTTGAGGGAAAAACAGCTCAACTCCCTGAGGACGATGATAAGAGCTACTGTCTATCTTCCTCAGAGGGTTACATTATCCTCCTCAAGGGCTACATTATCCTCCCTATACATAATATCTTCCTCAGAGGTTCATTATCTTCCTCAGGGTTACATTATCTTCTCAGGAGTTACATTATCTTCCTCAAGGGTGCATTATCTTCCTCAAGGGCTACATTACCTTCCTCAGGAGTTACATTACCTTCCTCAAGGGGTCAGGGGGAATGTTCTTCTCACTTTGAAGTCCAAATATTTAAAGGCCCTTAAATTGGGAACATGGAAAGAACATCCAGAGTCCATATAATCGCCATAGACAAAAATTATATATTTACTCCCTATTTTTCATATAATTGGGACTACTGTAAATCACCGAGACCCAATTTTAACTTACGAAAATCTTGAAGTTCGTAAAAAATAAATAAATAAAAAACTTCTATTTCCTGAAGTTTCAAATACAGCAACAACAATTACACACACACACACACACACACACACACACACTAGAGCTGTGGAATGACATCAAGGATTGTTCCCTAAACATTCCAGTAATAGAGCATCGAATCACACCATTTTATTTCTCCCTGAAGCCAAAATGTTTCGAAGCTCAGGACCTCATTTCGTCCTGCCTTCAAGGGCTTCCAGGTGATGAAGCCGCGTACCTGACGGAGTGTGAAGGAGACCATAAATCTATCTATCTATCTATGTTATTTGACATGCCTGTCTGTCTGTCTGTGTCTTTCCCCAACTAGTTCACAGGAATACTAGTAATATCCGCTACAATAAACAACAATGGCGCTACAGACTCCCACCAAACACACTTCAAGGTCACAGGTAATCTTTTCTACCATACAATTTTCTATTACCCAGACGTGTCCGTAAGAGCGTCGTTCTATTCAAGAAGTGTCCTTTAATATATCCCAATAGGTATAAAAAATGGTCTTTCTTCTCAATAGAATTTAATTTAACTCGGTTGAAAAGATTCGTAAAAGTGGAAATAATTTGTACACAAGATGAAAGGCCTTTGAATATGGGTCTTGGAATCCGTGTGTGTGTGTGTGTATGTGTGTGTGTGTGTGTGTGTGTGTGCGCGTGGGTTGTATTTTAATTAATAAATAAATGTGTTCACTTCCCATAATACGGGTTCTCTCCCTATAAAAAAAAAAATTCTCCCTAATATAACAGTGTTCTCTTCATCCCCACAGAAGAACCCAGCAGCAGGGGAGGGCGGGGCGGTCGCATGCGGTTACGGCGTAGTGATATGAGCAACATAGAGCGTGCGCGCGCCAGGACTCTGAGGATGACGGTCATTATCGTGCTGGCCTTCATCTGGTGCTGGACTCCCTACGTCGTCATCGTCATGTGGTCAGTCATTGTTGTCAGTCATTGTTATCAGTCACGTTGTTAGTCAATGGTGTAAGTCATTGTTATCAGTCATTGGTGTCAGTTATTGTTGTCAGTCATTGTTGTCAGTCATTGGTGTCGTCATTAGTTATTTTTTTTTCAGTCATCAATCAGTCATGTTGTCAGTCATGCGTTCAGTTACTGTTGCCAGTCACCATTAGTCATTGTTGTCAATCATAACCACTGTTACAATCATGAGTGACAGCCATTAACATGAACACAAGCACAACAACACAACACAAGCACAACAAGACAAACACAGCACAACAACACAAGCACAGCACAAGCACAACACAACACAACACAAGCACAACAACACAACACAAGCACAACACAACACACAGCACAACTACCTCCTCTGGAACCCAAACTATATATCCTCAACACCTCAAGAACTATACGACCAAACTCAGTAGAACTTGAACATAATCACAGGTGACCCAATAACAACAGGTCAAAGGTCATGAAGGTCACATCAGCAGCAGGAGAAAGTCACATAATGTCCCCAGAGACCGTCAGGAAATTTCTGCGTTGGTGCGTGTTGTGATTATATGCATCTGCCCAACTTGGGCTGATAATTAATCTCTAACAGGATTATGTTCAGTTAAAGTAAAGAAAATATATGCTGCATTTTCTTCATCTTCTGTCTGTCTGTCTGTCTGTCTGTCTGTCTGTCTTTTTCCAGTCGCCAAATTAGACAGGATCAAGGTGTGGCTACTTAGGAAACCGGTCTTCAACACTCTTCAAAGAGACGTCGGTAGGCATCAACACACACACACACACACACACACACACACACACACACACCATTACATTCAGTACATCAATAAGGATAAGAATATAGAAGAATAATTAGAAAGAGACAAATGTTTCTCGTGTGTGTTTACAAGGTAGGGTGATAGTTATAAGACCGTGTGTGTGTGTGTTTTACTTCTAACCTACACTTCAACAACGATACATCTGACAATTTTAACCGAGTAATTAAACAAAAAATCGCTCACATGAAATACCCAGGATGATAATGACCGACTTAACGGGGATAACAAATTTCTGACCGATCTAAAAAAAAATCTGCTATCCGATTTTAATTTCCGACCTGAATAACAACAGTATGCAGTAACTGTGGGTAGATCTATCGCCTTGGCATTAAGAGGATCTGGGTTCGAGCTTCCAGAATGGAGGTAAATAATGCGTGTTGGTGATTAGCCAGTATAAGCAGGTGTTAGCAGTGTACTTTAACTCAACGGCTGTAATTAATTAAGACCTGTGTGGGGGATATACGACGCTTGGTTTATGTGACGCCACGCTTAAAAAACTAATAAATCTATGGCACATTAATAAAGCTTTAAAATATATAATATTTTTTTATAGTAATTTGATGAAGGTTTTCAGTACGTAATTACTTTTTGGGGGAGGATTAATTTTTTTTTTTTCGGAGTAAAAAATATTTATATAGTGATTTGGACATTGATGATGGATCTGTTGAATGATAGTGAGAGTAAAGATTTTATCACACAAAACACACACACACACACACACACCTACCTTTATAATAGGCCATTAATTAAATACTTATTATATGAAACTTGATATCCGGTCATGATTCAGACACAAATGGACTGTTTTGATTAGCCCATTTGTATAGCAGCGATATATTGTATAAAACTGTGTGTGTGTAGGGGGTGTATTCTACAGGTGATTCAAATTAGCTAAAATAATTATTATTAATGTTTTCCTGCATAAATAGCTGAATACTAATAAAAATGCCAACTAAATATGACAAATAAATAAATAAACAGCTTCGTCAATTACATACCAAAGTAGATTACACACACAAAAATTATGAATTACATAAATAAATACTTTTAAAAGATTATATACGAAAGAAAAATTTAAATGTTTCAATACCTAAGTAACTTTTTTCATTTCCATTAGTACTGCATATTTTATTTTTTATGTGGGAAAAAATATATAAATGGATGTTTTAATAGTGATGAACGATATGTAGAGAAATACTATCACATGGGTAATATTCAATGGGAGGAATATTGATCTTATGCAACATTTATTCAATTTTTGCCTAAAATTTATCTAGTGTTGTGACTGTCTCTCTCATAGCTGACAACACTTCTCAAACTCAACTTCCTTCCTAATACAAAGATTTAAGTCTTCCAGCATTTCAACCTAGTCATGTCTCTTCACAAAAATATGACACCATTGTCGTCCTCCAACAAAGCAAGAATTCAATTTATCGTGTCTTCTTTTGGACAAAAATGAGAACTGATTGTCTCCCAGCAACACAGATAGTCTCCAGTGAACAAATATCTCTCCACTGAGGCGAAGAAACTCGAATCTCTAGAAGGTTTTTTTCTCACTTAAACATCTAAATATCTCCCACGGTATATTTATCTCAAGAGCTCTAAAGTCTCTCCATCACACAAAGACAACTCATCATCTCTCCCTTGAACCCAAATATCTCAAAATTCCAAAGTCTTATCTTGATAGAGACGAAGAAAACATCTCTCTTCCAACAAAAATTCGAATAAGGTGAAATAATATCTCCTGACTCTCAGAAGGTGATGCTCGTCTTATTGCTTTCTGTCTGTCTGTCTGTGTCTGTCTGTCATATATTTGTCACCAGAATAACTCAAGAACAGTAAGACCTATATACAATCGTTGACCCCCCAACACACTTCCCTAGAGTGCCGTGTGCCGTATATCCCTCTAAATAACAACACACTCCATATACCCCGGCAATAGATTCCGTATAAATATATTTACAGTAATCCCTTTGTATCCACCACTATGTATTAATACCTTTAATGGAATCAAATTAAAAAATATAGTTTCAGCACACGATACCTTCGATTACCTGACAATGATATAAAACCATAATAAAAAAAATTCTATTGAAAATTATAAATCCTGAATCATTAAATATGTGACTCTCCAGAATTTATGTTTACGTGTAGAAAAAATTTATTTCACTTTTTATTTGTTTACTTGACAGGATATCTAATTGGCAATGACAACAGTTGATTGTTTTATTTTATTATTATTATCGTTGTTATTATTAATCTCTTTGTTACCAGGTGGGATGAGGGAGTATTTTGATCTCGCGGTTCTACGCACACGCACGTAACACGGTACAATTCTCAAGTCATTCTTCTCGGGGTTTGTCT